TTTGTTATGGTTGTGGTTGTCTTTACTAAAATTGTCTTAGAAAATCACCTTTTATAATAAAATATTCAAACTATGGTATCTTTTGCTGATAACATTATTTTTTAGGATATCACAATGTGTACATATATTTCAACTTTTATTAATGAAATGAAAGAGCATAACAAACAGGGCAGAGTCAGGAATTCATTAGCAAAGGCAAATCTAGCCAAGTTACAAAAGTTCTTCCTAGTTATAGTTATCATAGAGCGAATTATATGTACAAAAAGGGAAGTCCCCTTTGACCATGCCTATAATCTTTTCCTACGTCCTTGAAAACTATAATTTCTTTCTAGCCAAAGCTGCCAAATTATGGTTGAGTTGCCATGTTGACTCTCTTATAAATAATTTTGCAGGAATGTAATGTTGAAGAGACTTCAGATGAGGAAGAAGCTCCTTCAAAGGGTTTGAAGGATAAGAAATCTAATGGACCAGATTCTGGAAAAGGTCTTATGTTCAAGATCACGAGCAAGGTTGCATATAAAACTGTTCTTAAAGGTTTGTTATCTGTTAATTGTTCCAGTGGTTTGGCAATGGGCAGCGGATCCTTCTATCTTGTTATGCCACATTTTGTTCTATTTAGATAAATACTTTTTCACCCTAAGAGGGAAATACAAGAGGGGAAGTTGAAAGGTGAAACGTCCTATAGAACTCTCTAATGGGTATTGATCCATGCTTACTAATCGCAATTTTGTCCCAAAGAGCCTGCCTTTCCTTGGAGAATATCCATTGCAATTACGTCTATGTTAACTTGTTGTGTTACAACTGGTTCGTTTTTCTCGTTTCAGCACACAATGCTGTTCTCTTGAAGGCAGAAAGTATGGCTGACAAGGTTGAATGGATGAATAAGATAGGTAATGTTATTCAACCTTCCAGAGGACAGATGAAGGGTCCTGATAGTGGTCTTCCCATGCGGCAGAGTTTTTCAGATGGTTCTCTTGTGAGTTACCAACTTGCATTCGTTTCTTTGTAGCAAGTTTTTGGATGATCACGACTTCTTCTGTGTTCTGTGAACCCATCATGCTACCAATTTTTAGCTTCACAAAATCTTGTTTATAGTTGACATCATCCATTTTTTCTTATTATACATCATGTAACTGTTAATTTTGAAAAACAAGCGATTACTTATTAACTTGATTTCACTTGATTAAGGATATGATGGCTAGAAAACCTGTTGATCCTGAAGAAGAACTACGGTGGATGTCCCAAGAAGTACGTGGTTATGTTGAAGCTGTTTTGAACAGTTTGGCTGCCAATGTCCCAAAAGTAAGCTTCAGAAAAATCACTTACACTGTTGATCAGTACGCCCCTCTTATGTCATATAATGGGTTTTAATTTTATACCTTGCTGGTTGATTGATTGAACTGAGCAGGCAGTTGTGCTCTGCCAAGTTGAGAAAGCCAAGGAAGATATGCTAAACCAGTTGTATAGTTCGATCAGGTTGAATCCACTTCTGCTTATTGTTTGCGACATTTGTTAATCTTTTGTATGATTGTGGCAGTTCTATGATCAGACCTAACATGTTAATGATTTAGAAAATAATTTTTGTTCTTTTTCGGTAGTGCTCAAAGCACACCAAGGATTGAGGAGCTTCTTCTCGAGGATCACAATGTAAAGAATAAGAGAGAGGTCTACCAAAAACAATCATCCCTTCTCTCTAAATTGCTACGTGAACTCAGCGTACATGACAACCGAGCGGCTGCAGCAGCCAACTGGTCTGACAACGGCGCAGGTATGCAATTAGAAACTTTCATTCATGCCGTTTCCTTTGTAAAGTTTACAAAGGCCTGATTCCATTCAGCTTGACTTATAACTTCGTTTCCATTAAGCTACCGTTTTTTAATAAACAAATGTTTGTCTTTGCAGAAAGCAGTCCGAGAACGAGTGTTCCATCATCAGGTGAAGATTGGAAATCTGCCTTTGATTCTGCAGCTAATGGTCCTGCCAACTATAATAGATCTTCATCCACTGGTCATAGTCGGCGTTACAGCGATTCAGATCAAAATGGGGATTCGAACTCACGTTCAAGTTCTAACAGTCGCCGTACTCCGAACCGGATGCCCCCTGCCCCACCGCCATCTTCGGGTTCAAAATACTTTTAGTTGGACTGAGTTTATACTATTTGACATTTTCTTATCTTCATCAGTATTTTTTGTCGGGTGACTCCAATGCACACCAGAGTTTGGGTACCCAGTCTTCTCATATTCATACGTCTCTACTGGTCCACTATCGGGGCAACTTGGAAACAAGGCTGGCGTGTACATAGAAATCAAAGTTCCTTTGGCTTCCTAGAGATCGGTCCTGCCCCGACTCCAAGTATCCTTGAAATTCACCAATGTATTTCTTCTCACATTTCTCTATTCATTTCTTAAGATTTTGTTTTCCTTCATTATTGTTTGCACCCATTTTTGGACACTAATGTATTATTTGTGTTGTGGTGATAGTGATCCCATCTAAAAAATGCACTCACTCTCCTTTGATAGCATTGTAACAAATGTGTACTTTATTAAAAATTGAGGAGACAAGTAAATCTCAAATGTTGTTTTTTTAATGGGGTTTATTACAGCCTAATTTCCTCCAGTTTGAAGTTCCAACATTCATTTACTTACACGCGCGCGCGCGTGACTGCAGATACTCTGGAACTTTCGCAGGTGGTCCGTGTGTCGAGTCATAAGGATTGCATGGCAAGCTGTGAGTTCCAAATCTTCCCTTCCGTCTTTTTGAAGCATTTATGGCGTCTTCAATTTTCTGGAAAAATGAATTTATTTATTAAAATTCTTCCGAAGAGTCAAAAACAGTGGCCGACGCACCACGTTCGCCACCTTCAACTTCAAGAAATGCGCCTCTTAATTTTCCCAATTCCCACGTTCCGCTTCATCTCCTAATAGCCCCAAACCCAACAATGAACTCCTCTCTTTTCCGCCTACCCTTTCCGCTCCTCTTCATCTTCATTTTCAACCTTGCCTCCGCCTGCCATGTCGGCGACCGAAATGCCCTTCTTGCTTTTAAATCCGCCATTACTGCCGATCCCTCTGGCCTTTTAAGCTCTTGGAAGTCCGCCGTCGACTGCTGCACTTGGGCCGGTGTCACTTGCTCGGTCCCCAACCGAGTCACCAGTCTCAGCCTCTATGGCCAACTCGACCACCCCAACGCCTTCCTCTCCGGCACCATCTCCAACTCTCTCTCCAACCTCCCTTACTTGGATTCCATCTACCTTGTCAACCTCCGAAACATTTCAGGTCCTTTTCCGCCTTCACTCTTCCAACTCCCCAAACTCCTCTTCATCTACATTGAAAACAACAAGCTTTCAGGCCAACTGCCAGCCGCTATCGGGAATATGAGCCAACTCGAGGCACTCAGTCTTGAAGGTAACAGGTTCACCGGTCCGATTCCGAGTTCAATTTCCAAATTGAATCGCTTGACTCAGCTCAAACTCGGTAGCAACCTTCTTACTGGCTCCATACCCATTGGAATCCAGCAGCTTAAAAGCCTGACGTTCCTCAGCCTCGAACGAAATCGATTCGCCGGTCCCCTTCCGGATTTTTGGGGCTCATTTCCGGAGTTGAGGATTCTCAGTCTTTCCCACAATAAACTCACCGGAAAAATTCCGCGCTCAATTTCAGCTCTGGCGGCGAAGCTCAGTTACTTACAGATAGGGCACAATTTGCTAAAAGGGAACATCCCTGATTTTCTCGGTACTTTTAGGGCACTGGATACCCTCGATCTCTCCTCCAATCACTTATCTGGAGTAGTGCCAAAAAGCTTCAGGAATTTGACGAAAATATTCAACCTCGATCTGTCTCGGAATTCGCTGGTGGATCCGTTCCCGGAGTTGTTCGTGAAAGGAATCGAGTCGCTAGATTTGTCGTACAACAAGTTTCACCTGGGGAAAATTCCGAAATGGGTGACGTCGTCGCCGATAATATACTCTCTGAAATTGGCGAAATGTGGGATCAAAATGAAGATGGAGGATTGGAAGCCGACCCAAACGTACTTCTACGATTACATCGATCTATCGGAGAATGAGATTAGGGGCAGTCCGGTGGGATTGTTGAACCGGACGGATTACTTGGTGGGATTTTGGGGCTCCGGAAACAAGTTGAATTTTAAGCTGCAAGATTTGAGGATAGTAAAGAGGTTGAAGTACTTGGATTTATCCAGAAATCAAGTGTCCGGTAAGGTCCCCGGTGCGGTGGTGGTTCTTGAGAAATTGAACGTCAGCTATAATCATCTGTGCGGCCCGATCCCGGCGACGAAGTTCCCGGCGACGTCGTTTTTAGGGAATGATTGCTTGTGTGGCCCGCCGCTGCCGCCCTGCAAATGAGAGGGCGCACTCCAGTCATGATGCGACCTCCCTGGTGGAACTCAGTTTATTCACGGAATGCGTTAGAGGCGCATTGAGATTAAGTGGGGGTCATGTATCAGAAGTCTAATCATGATGATACCCCAATTGTCTCAATAATAAAAATCTCTTTTTATTAATTACCCTGTTAACTAACTGAATTTTTAATGTCTCTCTAAGATCTCCAATAGCTAACAGAAGCATTTCTGACGAACACATCATAACTAGTTGAAACTTTTTGATAAGATTGACTTCCACTTTATTTATTTATTATTATTATTTTTTTTATAAATGAAATTAACTATCTCTACAAGTTAGGTGACATAGCTGTGAATGTTGCAAAAGTTCCAGTTCAGCCAAAACATGAACAAAAACACAATAATTGGGAGAGTAATGAGATCTGTAAACGTAATTAAATTTCAACTCAATACCTCCATCATATCATCGTCAAAGGAGCTTCTTGTTATGCCTTCTTTAAGCTCATGTTGCCATATCTGTTGCTACTCTTGCTGAAAGGTAACATTCCAAATAGCAGCACCTATCAAGCTTTCAGATAGATTCTCGACGAAATATGAAAAGAATGCAAGAGAGAGAGAGAGAGAGAGAGAGAGAGAGAGAGAGGTTAGAGATCGTACACAAGTTCTATTATACATCTCCATCTCGAGAATCTATAAATCTTCATCAACCAAAAATCTAAGCTATTTAAACATAATTTTTGAGAGTATGGGAATGAGAGTCAAACTAAGGTCCAAAATCAAGTCTAGTGGAAGAGACTTACATATTCATTTACAAACAAAGCATCGCATAAAAAGCTTCCCATCAACTTCACTCACACTTGCATCTCTTACCTTATGATACACATGCAGACCTCCAACATCTCCAAATAGTTGAAAAAAAAACTTCACCTCATACTCATGGCAGGCCAAGAATTTGCACCTGCACCCGTCCATGAAGCTCTCACCTCAGGCACCCGTCTCACCATCGAGAAGGCTTCATTCAATCGTGCAGCCCGATCTGCAAATTGCGATATCTTCTACAAAACGATAGATGTGCACCAGTATAAGTTTTTATCTACATTCAATCAAGTAATGCAGAGAACGAAATGGATTTGTATGCCAAACCCAAAACCATCATCTGTTGCTGCATTCTACCCCAATTTTCCCCTCAAATCACCCATACATAATGGAAAAGTTATAAATGGCTGAAGCCTATAATATAACTAACTATTCTCACTGCATTCTGAAAGTTTCCATCTGGCAACCCAGATAATCAAAGATAGTCCACATCAATTTCAACGCAAAAATCACATCTAATAGAGAGAATTTATAATGGATCACAGTTTCGTCCCACTGTCAATCAAAGGTTATAAATATTGTTCTTCCAAGAAAAAAGTTTCTAATAGAGCTGACCCACAAAAGGAAATTAGAAAAGTTGAACAATGAACAGAAGTGTAAGATGTCTCAGAGTTGGCACAAATAGAGAAGGGTGTAGTGGGGTTAATATAAGGCACAAATAGAGAAGGGTGTAGTGGGGTTAATACAAGTTTCTGCCATCAATTCTTTGAGGGGAGAGCTTTCTGTTTTAGATAACTTAGCACCATCTCATTCACAAGAACGTACGACATACTCGAAAACAAATTATGTTGCTCAAATTTGAACTTAGTACACTATTCAATGGATATAGATAATGTCGACTAACAGTTATATCCAGAAAGATTACTTTTTTAAAAGATAGAGAGAGAGAGACTGCCAATTGAAAGAGCTTCACCAAATTAGGAATATGATAATCAATAACTAACCTTATCATCCACAGCAATCTTCAACTGAAGGCTGGTAGTTTTCCTCTTCATCTTGTACAACCTACGCCCCAATATCACCATTCCCATGAAAGCAACAGCCACAGAGAAAGACCAGGCAGGGCTCGCCTTTAGAAAGAAGTACCTCAACACCTGAAAAGGAACCTTCCACCACACAACCCTCCTCCTCTGGGTGTCTATCTCACCAGATTTTGCCTCCACTTTCACTTCTTCTGTTCCCACATCTATTTTCTCACTTGATTCTCCATCTTCCCCACCCAAATCCTTGTTCAAAACATCATTTACACTGTCTATATGATCGCTCTCTTTTCCATAGTCTCCAAATTTCAAGGAAACTGACTCATTTCCAATCGAATTAGAATCCAAAACCTCATCCTGGCTCCCAATTTCTTCACCAGGACCTTCGGATTCCATTGGGCTGCACAAGTCCTTCGCAGAAAGCGGTTCATCTCTAGCAACAAAAGCAGAGCCACTAAATTTAACATCGTCAGACTCACGTCTCTCCAAATTCTCAACGTCCGTCGCAATTTCTTCGAAACCTGTCACGCTTTTCGTAATATCTGCAAAACCATTCGCATGAGATTGGTCGTCCAAAAGGCCATCGCCCGAATCGGACCCTAGTTCACTCGTGCTTCTCCGAGAATTCCGATTCTCCGAATTAGTATCGTTGGAGTTTAGGCTTTCCAACTCGACCAAACACGCGTCGTTTACAGTAGACTCCAGGGAAGTCTTTGCATCGTTTTGGTGATCACGAAGAGAGAAGTAATCAAACCAGATTGTGCTTCTAGAGCCTGAATCGCCTTCAATTACGTGAAAGAACCTCGAGTTCGAATCAGGAAAATTGGAGTGAACTTGGGGGAAAGTGTGGGCATACTCATAGTCATGGAGAACCTCCCAGTCGTGGAATTCGCTTCCTGAACCGTCCTCCTCCATGGCGGTGGGTTCTGGAGAATTACACTAGGAAAAGGCAAAGGCAAAGGCAAAGGCTATCTACAATGTTCTATGGCAACAAAAAAATGATTGAAAATGGAAGGGACGGAGAGAGACGGAAACGGCCAGAGTGGTTTTTATGTGTAACCCACCAGTTGTTACTTGTTCGTCCAACCTTTTATTAGAAACAAAACGCCTAAACTCACTCACTTGATTCCTCTCCTTTTCCCATCTTCTAGGTTAACTTATGATACAATCTGCTACTCAGTAAATACATTTAACTGAAAATTCACAGATTTATATAATATTATGGGTTGGGTTGCAGGTTAGGTTCTTCCAAGTCTTTTTTTTACCGAAGAAAATTAACTGAGGCTTGGAGAAAGCCAGATATAATAGAGGAACCATAAACTTATATCTATTCCGTAACCAACTTCACAATCCTACTCTTAAAAATTCAACACTAACTTGTCATCTTTCTCAATTTCTGTCTCTTACTATATTCACTAGAGATTATGTAACATAATAAAATGAGGCTAAAAAAAACCTACCTTGCAACCCAAGACATGAAAAACCATATTTAGGACATCTAAAGCATTTATTCCCCAAATTTTACTAAATTGATACATACATTTAGTATAAATAATGCATGTAATAGGAATAACTCAAAACGGAAATCAGCCATCTATGTCAACAAGTTCACAAGCAAAATGGATTACAAAAATGGATTGTGTGTCAGTCGAGTACAGCCCAAATGTGAGCCACACACTAAATTCTTGCGCGCGCACACATATATACCAACCAAGGCTGTGTATTAGAACACTTGTGTATGTAGATCTCAGTATGCAAAAAAAATAAAAAAAAGTCAGCGAAAAAGTAGTTCTTCCTGACGTGGGATTGAAGAAGACAAGCTCTGCATTTTGCAACAGCAATGACATCAAGGGGCCAAACGCTTCTTCAGTTCATCAATGATATTGCTTCTAAGAATTGTTACTTCTTCGAAGGTTTCCACGTTTTTCAACTTCACAATCCCCTCACTCACTTCACGTTCCCCCAAAAATACTATCCAAGGGATTCTCGACTCTTTTGCACGATCAATATGTTTCATCACTCTTTTATTGATCAGGAACTCTGCATTCAGTTTTGCACTCCATATCTCACTTGCAAGCTCCGCAGCTTGTGTTAAATCATCTCCCAATATGCTCACTAAAATTTCAGTCTTAGTGGCCCGAGTAGTCTGCAAAATCCCATCAGTTGAATTCAATGAATAGTCCGTTGACAAAGACAAGTAGAAGAGTTCAAATTTTATCATCAATCGGCTTTGATATGGAAGGTTGAGAACTCTCAGAAAACCACCAGGAGTTCAAAAGGGAGAGCACCCCAATTAACAGAGATAGTTGCTGGACAATAATTATACTTTCTTTCGGCCATTTAAATCAAACTTTACACAACCGGTAAAATCGCCCTGACTGAATCAGTAAGGTAGGCAAAGTTCGAAAAAAATAATACCCAGCAATGAAGATGAATTGATTCACCCCCAAGACTAGACCAGGAAAAAGATTAATCAAGACCAACTATCAGCATTACCTAGGAATTTTTATCCAAGAACCTTAACAAGCGGGCTTATGGAAAACTGTAATGACTTAGAAGCTCAAGTCTGATTAACATTCAACTACAAGAGGATTCAAATAAAAAGGATAAGTTATTACCTGATTTTGATCCTTCAAATGTTGTTCCATAATGACAAAAACTCGTTCAATTCCAAGACTGACGCCAACTGCTGGGACCTGCTTGGAACCAAACATTCCAATAAGATTGTCATAGCGTCCACCAGCAGCAATAGAACCAACCTGCGAACATAAATGATCAGTTAATTACATCCTCTCAAAGCGTCCAAATAAAATACGTATTAGGAGGCAGCAAGGTAACATGATGATAACTTCGTACATCATTGCAGGTAATAGAACTAAGGAGAAATGATCTTAGAGAGCAAAATAATTTCCGTCAGATGTCAGTAAAGTATCATAGCTGCATAACTAGATTATTCTGGATATGAAAGCAACCATCTATCTCAAAATTTTCTATTTTAAAAGTCCACGTATAATTTTCAAAAGCAGTACACAGAAGAAGTCAGAGGGGGATATCAAATAATATTTCTTACGAAAAGGAAGGGCCAGGCTCCCAGACTAACTGTGCAAGATTGTATATCTAGCAATTCTTCAAAATAACAGAAAGTTGAGTTCATTGATTGCTCTAACACAACAAAATCCCCCCAATAACTGGTAGTCAAATTATCAAGGAAAAATCTCAAGCAGAGTTAAAATTAGTATCAAACAACAGCATATGCATAACAAGTCAAAAGCAAGGGATGTACCAACCAACATGATGATGACATATAGAAACTTACCTGGGTACCACCTTTAAAAATAGCTTCATAAATTACTCCAGTGTAGTAATCAAGACCTCTGGCAAGACTCAAGTCAAAGACCACTTTGTCAACACACTTTGCCTTTTCTAGAGCACTAAATAAAATCTCTAGTTCACTCAATGCACCAGAGGATCCTTTATTTTGTAATAATGGGCTCTGCTCCTGCTTAAGCTTAGCTAGTAACTCCAAAGGATGTCCCCTTTCCTTCACAAAATCACCTATTCTTTCAGCTATCTCCAGGGCCAATCCTTTTTCCTCCACCTGGCAAGTAAACATTACTATAAAATTGAAGTATAATAAATCCATCTTTGTTATGGCTAGATGGAAGACAAAAAATGCAAAACTAAGAAAATGGAGTAAATGTAAGAGTTACCTTGCAATGGAAATTAAGTTGACAAACTAAAAACAAAATCAAATTAGAAAAAAAAAACTAAACAAATGATAATAACCAAAATGAAAAGAGCTTTGACTTGAGTGAAATGCAATTATGCAAATGTATGTTACCACCAAATTTTAAAATTGGCGAACGTAATCTGCAATCAAAATAAATCAGATAACCAAAAGAAACTAAGAGGGTAAGGCAGAAAGAGGCAGGCATGCTCAATAAATAATAAAATTGTGGTCAACAGTAAATTTAATTACCATTTCTCTTTTTATCTGGTCAAAAGACTGCTTGTCTAACTTGTCAATACTCGAACATATGGTTCTGAACTTTTCAGGTGGTACTCCACAAATTTCTAACATTCCATCCAACAGCTTTCGATGGTTCAATTTTATCTGCAGAAGAAAATGTGTACAATATAGATTAGGCTAAAAGTTTAACCACAAAGTGGTGTCAGAAATAAATAGCAGTAACAACACAGAATTGACTGAGCAACCCTGAGATATAGAAAGGAATCCTGGAATCCAGGAATCCAGTCCACTCAAGCAATATGATAATATGGGAAACTGTGCTTAATATATATTGGCTTGATGTTTTGTGCTATACTTACCAATTTAGCATATTATTCAAAATTACTACAGATTTATAAAATTAAACAAGCAAACAAATACATTGAGTTATATTATGCAGAACAATTAGTAAAAAAGGCTACCTCATACTGTCCAATGTTCAGCTCATCAAGTAGCTCCGTTAGTATCTTAATAACCTCAAAATCTGGTCCCATCTTTTCATATTGACCAGCGATATCAAAATCACACTGATAAAATTCACGGAATCTTCCCTTAGATGGGTTGTCCCTTCTATAAACTTTTGCTATTTGATACCTTTTGAATGATGTTATACCATTCATGGCAATGTACCTAGCAAACGGAACAGTCAAGTCATATCTAAGCGAACAGAGCTCCCCTCCCTGTAAACGGACTGAAAAAGAAATTACAATGATGGAGAACAAAAAAGGAACAACAAGTTATTCCTCTGTCACAAAACTATTCCAACAATCATAAAACTTGATAGAATAGAGAGAGCTAGACAGTCACAGAATAAACAGAGAAGCATTAATCCAATAATAAACAAATAAAATGAATAACATACATAATACCCAAAAAATTAGATAACCTTGACGTGATAATAGCATGTTAAGATGCTCAAAAAAGCTCCACGATGCATCATATATCAATGCAAATGCTAGTATAAATGGCATTAATAAGCCAACAGATACAAGAACAATTAAAAATAAATAAAGTTCCAAAAACTTCAACAGTCAACTAACCATTATGCTCAACAACAGATCAGAATATTTTTAGTGGATCGTTAATCATGTAATTATTTCATGAAGCATGAATAAGCATGAATAGACACTCAGAATAATGGAAGAAAATAAATTGGGATAAATATCCCAACAATTTATGTCTAAAAAACTTGATTAGAGAAACAATGGTAGTGTCTGCTAACAGTTAAAACAAGTAATAACATCTACTATAACCTGATCAGACAGATCATAAATCAGCTTGGAATCTTCTCCATATTTCCCCATGAGTGTTTCTCTCAACTCAAAAGCCGGAGTATCCAAGGCTGTGGCACCATGGCGCTCAAAAACCCCCTCTATAATTGAAAATGCTTTCTTTCTAATTGCCATTTGTTCTTTTGCAAAATCTCGAGTGCCCTAATATGTAAGAACATTAAGTTGAGTTAAAGTAACAAACACCTTACTCAAGTTAGAAAGAGGGAAAACAATAAAATATTAAATCAAATCGAAAGATAACAGTATTAACAAAAGCATGAAATAGATTTAGAAAACCAAAATAATGCCTAATCCTATAGCTGTATCCTTCCAAATGAAAAGGAATGACTCACTTTCTATCTTCTTCTCTAAATTGAGACTTCTCAAAAAGACAAAGATAACATACTGATTAGTGATTTCAGAAAAAGAAAACTATTGTTATTCTCTTTACTTTACATAGAAAACCAGAAGTGAGCACTCTCAATGAAAGTTGGATTCTTATCCAAAAAGTGGAAGTGGAAGAAGAAGAAGGAGGAGAAGTTTAGTGTTAAAAAGAAAATAGTGTCTTCCTTTTTTTCTCCTTTCATAGAAACCTGGCGCATGCACAAGCCAACTACTGCACGCTAAGGTTTCAAAATAAACTACTGTAATGAAGCATAATATAAAAAATTTGCAGCCAAAAAAATTGAATCATCACTTTTCAGTAATTTGGTTTGTGAGTAACTAGTAAGTATATCATGTCTACATGTAACAACAATTTCAACTGATATAAGGCTGTATAAAATACCTACGTTAATAACAATGATCATAAAGAATATATCAAAGATTTTTTTTTTTTTTTGATAGGGAACAATTTCTTTGATGGACCAAAGAATTAAAATATAAAATGGATAGTAATGGTAAGTTTAGGGTATATGTTTTATGTAGTATTGTAGGAATATTTAGTAAAGGCAATACATTTAGCATTTTTAAACTGATAGTAAGAGGACGATTTCATTATTACCGTTGCTAAACTATGTAGCGGCATGCAATTGAAGACAAAAGGAATCAGGAGCCATGAAAAAAGGATGCCACTATTCTTCTAATGAGATTCCACTTCCTAGACCAAAACAAAGGGAGGATGGCTAAATAGCTTGGAATTTAGGTAAAGTTCTGAAGTACGGTATTACCTTGGGAAGCTTTGGTAGCCTCCTACTTTCGTTGCTTTCAACGATCTCTCTGATTTTCATCAATAGATTATCAAACTCGGAAGCCTTTGGATCCAAAAAGGATAAAAGATCTTTTACTGAGTTCTCCAACCCCAGATCACCACTTTCACCCTGCAATCTATCTTTAATCAATTGAACAACCACGCTAGTTCCTTTACCCAAGACTGCTTTTTTCTTCTTCTCACTCTTATTTAACACCTTTTCATTAGCTCGATTCATGTCAACATCTTGACCCTTTCCTATCAATTTACCGCCTTCAATCGTTAAGAAGCCTGCTATAGCCTCCCAAACGACAATTTTCCATACAGTTAACAACAACACATTGACAGTATGGACAAACTCATCGTAATTGTCATCCAAAGCTAAATCGGAGACCAACCTATAAACCTTTTTGAGACTCTCATTACTGGGACATTCCCTATCAAGCAAACCCGCCAAACTCGCCTTCATATTATCATCGCTATTTGAATCCAAAATCAGTTTTCCTCTATCCAAACTACATTTTCCCAAGTCCCACAGCATGGCTGCAAATGACAACAATGCGGTCCGAACAGTATCCTCGGTCCCAGAACTCATAGATCCTCCTTTCCCAATTTTCACATTAGAATTCAACTCAACCCGCATTTTCGAATGCACCAACTTAGCTTGCTCTCTCAAGCATCCGTGATTCTTTGGGATCTTGGAAATAGCTCCACTCTCGATCTTACCCACCAGCTTAGATCCATTTAGTAATACCTTCATATCATTAGCGACTCCAACCTCCTCCTTTGAAGCGAACCCATCACCCGAGTCCATCAAATTGAACACAGACACGTCAGCTCTAGAAGCCTCGCAAGATATGCCCGCCACAGCATCAGCAATGGAGGATAATGCTGCTGATTGATGGTCTAACAACGCGCAAACTCCGTTCAAAACATAACACGATTGCTTGAACACGGATAACTCCTCGTCGGTCACATCAAGTGACTCAAATTGTAAAGTTTCTGGCTTTGAATTGAGTGTCTCCGCAATTAGAACAGGAATAACCGATCGAATACCGGAAGAACTAGAGATGATGAGCTTGTTCAGGAGGACAACAAGGGATGCCCTGGCTTCTTCGCGAGTCAGGTAATCAGGAATGACGACTTGGTGCTTGACGGATGCAGCATTTCGATTGTTCGACGAAGATGCAAGCCTCTCGAGGGCTGATGAGTCGATCCGAACCAGAGCAAAGCCATGGGCAATGGCATGGATGGAGCTAGATGAAAGCGATGAACCCTTTCCTCCAAGCGTAATCACGGAGACCTCAGCAGGGTCCGCCATTAAGGATTAATGGAGGAAGAACCTTAGGAGTGAAACGGGGCGGGGAGAACGTTCGGAAATGAATTTTGGCGATGGTAATTAGGGTTTTGGAGGTGAAGGACGAGGCAGTGGAAGAACCGGACGTATAAAAAACCGAAACCATTAAACCGGACCGATATGATTCGGATTCTATTTAAGAACAGTTAAAACTTAAAAGCTACGGCATCTTTTCTTTTTCACAATCAAATTCCATTTAAAAGTACTTTAAAAAATAAACGTCTCGCTTAACAGACTTTGGACGGAGGCGCTAAAAGAATTACATGGTTGGTGGTATTTTTGTGAATCAATGTGCGGTAAATAACAATGTAAACGGTAAATAACAATGTAAATCAGGGGTATTTCGGGAAGGAAAAAGTATTCTCCATATATCCTCAGACCCCTGGCCGTGCAGCTTCCCATTTATAGTATTAGTTGCGGCATATTGAGCGAGACAAGGTAAACAAAAAGACGGGGCCCAGACCATCTGCAAACACTCCCCGCAGTTCTTTCGTCTCCAAGCTTCTGAATCCATTGGAGTTTCAGGTTCTTCTTCATCTACTTTATTCTGCCGAGTGTGTGTGTTTTCTTCAGCATCGCCTTCTTCTTTGCTCAATTCACCACCTTCGTTGTTCAGTGGTTTCGAGCTTAGTTGACTGCAGGACACTGTTCATTGTTGTCGACTCACCACATTCCACCAGTACGTAGAAGACACAGTATTTTATACTTTTCGTTGCAATTTTCAAAGCCTTGACTTTCCCATATGCTCCTATCGAGTTCCTGGATGGCTTCACCCAGCCGCCCAAATTATGCATTAGTTTCGGATATTACACGCACACCCTCTCTATCTTCGCGAAGAATTAAAGATTTGAGTTGGTTTGTTGATTCAAACATCATCCCATGTTATAGTTTCCCTTCACTGCTAAAAATGGCCCAGCAACTACAACGGAAGAATCAGACCCTACACTGCTCTGCATCACTTCATTCTAATGCCACTCTTCCCAGGTTTGTTTTCAGTTCACCGCACTTTTTTAGAATGACTTTTCCTCCAGATATGTGTTTGGTCCATTCGGGAAACAAGAGAAAGATATGGATTTTGATTACAATCTCTTCTGTGGTACTAACTTGCAGGAAAGATGAACTTCCTGTACATGGAGTTTCTGAAAAGGTTATTGGTGTACTAGGAGGGGGCCAACTGGGTCGTATGCTGTGTCAAGCAGCCTCTAAATTGGCCATCAAAATCGCAATTCTCGACCCACTCGTAAACTGCCCTGCTAGTTCTTTAGCTTACTATCACATGGTTGGTAACTTTGATGATAGTACCACTGTTCAAAAATTTGCTAAGAGGTATATTTTTTTACATTCACATCCTTCATGCCATAATATTCTTTTCGTGGCATGGATTTTCTTCCCTTGAAGGCTTATCGTAGTAACAATAAGTTCCATTCATGTTTGCTAGATGTGACGTATTAACAGTTGAAATTGAACACGTTGATGTGGCCACGCTAGAGATTCTTGAGCAGCAAGGAATTGACTGTCAACCTCGGGCATCTACCATCCGTATAATTCAGGTCTGTCTTTCTTCATGTGTACATTTGGTTTTGATAGGCACTCTATTTTAAGTGAAAAAATTACATGTCAATTCTAAAATTTTCTGTCAATCTTTTATTATTGGGAACCTGATGAATGATGGCTACCTCATTATGGAAATAGAGAAATGCATAATAGATATACCTTTAAAAAAGCTTATAGCCAAAAGTTTGCTTATAATGCTGTTATCTAGACTACAGCATAGATGTATTACAGTACTAGTCTCCTTCCTCTCTCTTCTTGTTGGTTGATATCAATTCAAATGCGAACTCATTTATTTGTTAAACACCTACCAAATCGTCCCTGCAATATGCTCAAGAAGATTAATTCCTCTGACCTCTGCTGTTATGTTTCTCAGAGATTGAAATCGATTGTCTACCATTTTTATTTATGATTTTTAATCCTTTCTCATCTATTATGTTACAGGACAAATATCTCCAAAAAGTTCATTTTTCTCAACATGGAATTCCATTGCCCGAGTTTATGCAGGTTTTATTCTCTACATGAATTTCTGAATGGTGTTGTTACTCTTGCTCTTATATTTATGTTTGATAGTATCAAATAACTTATTGACCGTTAGTGTTTCCTCCAACAGATCGACGATCTTGAAGGTGCAAAGAAAGCAGGTGACCTATTTGGTTATCCTCTCATGATTAAGAGCAGAAGATTAGCTTATGATGGACGTGGAAATGCTGTTGCAAAAAGTGCAGAGGAGCTTTCTTCCGCCATTTTTGGTGAGATATATCTGATATGCAATTTGTTTATTTCAGGTCCTTTTTCAATATTGAAAGTGCGATATATTAATAATAGTATGGAGTATGATAGTCAGTCTAATTTATGCAATTGTTGCAAATGGTCGCATAACTTTTTTAGAACAACATGTGGGAGTGGGGATTGGAATCTTTCACCTTTTGGTTGAGGATATATGCCTTAACTAGTTGTTGTATCCTTTTATTCATACTTGTAGTAAATTGTTCAAGAGTCTATGTAATACTTGTAGTAAATTGTTCAAAAGTCTATGTAATCAGGGATTTCGTACATTTGTTTCTTTTTACATCTTGGATTGTTTGAGGTTTTAATGTCTCTGTAATTTTATTTAATATGTCTATTACCTTTTATAATTTCTTATGCACTTGTCAATATGTCCAGCTCTAGGTGGATTTGAGCGTGGCTTATATGTCGAGAAGTGGGCGCCTTTTGTGAAGGTTTGTTTGTTTGTTTGTTTGTTTGTTTTGAAGGTTGGTTCTTAGCATGTGGTGTTTGCCTTGCTGATCATCCACTCTACTCTTCATGGCTTGCCTTTTTCTTCTTCTTCTTCTTTTTTCTTTTTATAAGAAACTAAACAATTTCTTAGAGTAAAGGCAAGCTCCAAGCAAGGAAGCTTACAAAAGGCTCTTCCAGTTAGCTTAAAGAACATTTAAGCTACAGTTGTTGAAATGAGCGTAGAATCTACAACAAGAGAAAGCCATTAAAAAACAGTATCTAGAATTCTTTTAGTTTACTTTTCTTGTGTTAGAATGCATGGATGTATATAAAAAAAAGGTCAATCCATATATGAAGTCTTAACCTAACCAGATTAAGTTTCTATTTGCATATATTTTATTGTTGATGAAATCTGATGTTTGCTTTCCTTTTGTGCGATAGGAACTTTCGGTTGTTATTGCAAGATGTAGAGATAACTCTATGTCATGCTATCCTGTTGTTGAAACTATTCATAAGTAAGTTGAAGGATACAATTTTTATATGTTCTTTCCTATCCCTTCTTGCGAACTTTCATTTCTGCCCTCTTTAAAAATAGTAAATTTGTGAGATGTATTGCAAATTTCATACATCATATGCAAGTGTCTGTAAATGATCAATTATGAAATGGGTATGTTGATGTCTAACTCATTTTTTGGTACCTATTTCTGTCTTTGTCTCTCTATTCTCGGGAGGATTATGTAAAGTGTTTTCTAGTGATGGGACATAAAAGATTCAAAGTTGAGGGGACCAATAAATTTAGATGTAGTAGTGCTAGGTTGATTAAACAGAGCAAAAATAGGTATTCCTATTTGTCGAATGATATTTGTGTAATCCTGTTAAATAAGGGAAATAGTTGACGTCCCTAATTTATTGGTTTGATTTATTTAGATTTATTTACCTAATATATATGAATTATTATTTAGATTCAGTTACCCAGTACGTAGGGACTATTATTTAGATTTATTGTTATAGGTTTATTTAGATTTATCTTATCTTGTAATTCTCTGAAAATAAATAAGAAAAAACAGCAGTGTAATTTAGACTTGCAACACTATTGATAAGTTAAGGGATAGAAATAAATTTGCCATGGTGAGAGATCTTATCTAAGGAAAATCCTAATTATCGTTTACAAAAACCTAAGTGGGTCAAGATTGATAGGTTTTAGTCAAATATTTGTGGAGCTCGAGAAGTATTGCTTCGTTTTCCTTGGATGCAACTTGCTCTCATGGGAGTATCCTTGTATGATTGATTATGCTTACAATTTCTTGACAGTAGTGTTAGGTAATCTCTTGCTCACATTGAAAACTACTATTGAGGACTCTTCTATGATCCTTCCCCTTCCTCACATCACATTAGATCTTCCTTTTAATCTGAGGTCAAGAGTTTTCATGCTTGTTTGAGTCCATGGGTAATGGGGGAGATCTTACATTTTGAGCCTTGTGCCTTGAACAAGGTGGTGGATTGGAAAGTTATTCTAACTCTTGCGTGCTTGCTTATCCTAGGTTGTTCGAGTATTAGCTTTCATTGATTTTTTTTTTACCACTTGGAGCAATTTTTCGGAACTCTTCTGGTATCATAGGCTCATTTCATTCATGAAAGAAATTATTTTTATAAAAAGGAAATTGTGAGATGTAATTGCACTGATCTTACATTACTCCTGTGCATTTGGACATCACAATAGTTATAGCTTAGTTTTTGGCTATCTCCTCTTGCTGGGCCGTTGTTTTGTTGGTCATTTTATGTATATATTTATGTCACTTTTTCAATGAAAGTTGGTTGTTTCGTAAAAAAATATTTAGGCATCACATTAGAAAACTTATTCTGTAGGGAAAATATATGTCACATTGTCAAAGCTCCCGCTAGTGTGTCATGGGAGATCAAAAATCTCGCAACTGATGTTGCATACAAAGCTGTTAGCTCTCTGGAAGGTGCTGGCATTTTTGCTGTAGAGTTGTTTCTGACAGAAGATGGCCAGGTTGTATCATCAATGTTTACTACTTGTAAAATTGAAGAAATCGTCTGATTTGCATTTTTCTTCCTTTTAACTCTGGGGTTAATGTACTACTTATCTCTTTTTATCTGTAACAGATTTTACTGAATGAAGTAGCTCCTAGACCTCATAATAGTGGTCATCACACAATTGAGTCTTGCAAGACCTCTCAATTTGAGCAGCATTTGCGGGCAGTCCTTGGTCTTCCCCTTGGTGATCCATCAATGATAACTCCAGCTGTTATTATGTATAACATTCTAGGTGAAGAAGAGGTAAATTAAGGATACCTTGTCCCCTTTTCATCTGTGATTTTTTCTTTATTTATAGAAGATATATTTCCTTTTTTTTGTGAGGCAATTTTAGGTGAGGCAATTTTATTTTGTTCTTCATGTATACATATATTATTCATGTTTTCTTTTTAATCATTGATTGTATCTCTGCATGGATAAATTTGCAAATTTGGTGTTTCTATCTTGAGTAAACTAGTCTGATTACTTTGGACAATGCATGGTGATGTGCCTTACTAACTCTCTCGGAAGTGGCTGCATCCTTGGAAGGTTCTATAAGTATGGAGGGCAACCTTAAAAAATTCTCTCAAATCTATGCAGCATATTAGCCAAAAAAGAAATAGAAAGAAAAAGAGACTAGGTACTAGGTACTTAAAAAATAAATTTCTTTATGTTAAGCAGCTTAGGAATATGAGACTAGATACTTAAGTGACTTAAATTCTGCATGTAAGTTTCAGTACCAGTGAACCTATCCTAGGATGAGCCTGAGATACTTAGAGGTCGTATATGATATAACACTATTTGCTAATTTTGGGGACATCAATGGTTAATCAACCATAATTAGGAGAAAGCTTTACCAACATCAATGGAAGAGCATCAGGTAAAACTTCATAGTAGAATAGATTTTGAATTTTGAATATGCATTTGGTAGGTGTAAGTACAACACGTCTGATAGTTATTCTGTTGCCATTTCTTTCAGGGGGAACCTGGTTTTATAGCTAATCAACTGATGCAAAGGGCGCTGAGTATATCTGGAGCTTTTGTTCATTGGTATAATAAACCGGGTTAGGCTTTAAGATTTTCTTCCGCTTAAAATTTTACCCCTTCAAGGATTGCAAAGATAACATTTAATCGACTCCCTTTCAATGAACCAGAAATGAGAAAACAAAGAAAAATGGGTCACATTACGATAGTTGGCCGTTCTATGAGTGCTGTTGAAAATTTGTTATCGTTAACACTTGATGAAGCTTCTGAAAAGCCTGCAGGTCAGCGTCCCTCCATGGTGCTTTCATGTTATAGTGTTTTATCACAAAAATAATCCAGTTTTCTGACATTCGATCATATATAACCTATCTTATAATGTTTTTAGTTAGAATTTAAAGTGCAGATTTCTCTTAAGGTGAAAAATAAAACAACATATGTATGGTAAACACAGAAGTTTTTTTCCCCATTTTCTGTCTGTTCTCTTTCTTGATGACCTGTTCCATATAAACTGCCTAAGTATTTGAAATTACCAACTGTTTGCCATAAAAATACGAAGATTATCTTATTTGTGCCCTATGCTCATTCTTATTGTCACTGAATATGCGAATTGCAGAAGTTGGCATTCTAATCAGTTCTTTCATTTATTCTTCACCTGGGTCATATGATCTTTTCAATGTTTACTTGAAAATGAAAAAGAAGAAAAAAAAAAAAAAAAAAAACAAGCTTTCACTCTTTCAAGATAGTTTATGAAGAGCTTTCCTTATTTATACCTCCACTTTTATTTTTTTAAAAAAAGTATAATGGATTTTACAAGAAAACTGTATCTTGTCTTATTGGTTAACTCTAAATCTAGCTTTTGTATCTATTAGTTTTTATTGAAAACTNAAAAAAAAAAAAAAAAAAAAAAAAAAAAAAAAAAAAAAAAAAAAAAAAAAAAAAACAAGCTTTCACTCTTTCAAGATAGTTTATGAAGAGCTTTCCTTATTTATACCTCCACTTTTATTTTTTTAAAAAAAGTATAATGGATTTTACAAGAAAACTGTATCTTGTCTTATTGGTTAACTCTAAATCTAGCTTTTGTATCTATTAGTTTTTATTGAAAACTTCTTTCCTATCCCTAAAGGAAATTGGTTTGCTTAATTTTTGGTTAGGTTTCATTGAAGTTGCTTACGTTTATAATACAAGTTTGGTCTTTTCCTCTATCTGATCATCTTTATTTCTTATTAAAAACATACTCAACTCAGTTGAGCCTCGTGTTGGAATCATAATGGGCTCTGATTCGGATTTTCCGGTAATGAGAGATGCTGCAAAGGTCCTTGACACATTTGGTGTACCTTATGAGGTTAATTTTTATTGTTGATGATTGATGCTGTTCATTGTGTGTGTATATATATGTATATATATCTTACTTTTTCTTCTAAAAATAAGCAGATAAAGATAGTTTCTGCACATCGGACCCCTCATTGGATGTTTTCTTATGCGTCGTCTGCTCAGGAGAGAGGGATCCAGATTATCATTGCTGGTGCTGGGGGTGCAGCCCATTTACCAGGCTAGTCAATTGAATGCTTCCTGTATAGATATAGTATTTGGACAGAACAAAAGATCTCATTGCTTTAATTCTAAAGGGCTGGTGAAATGGACACAATATATGCTTTTATTGCGCTGTCTTGAGTTCAAAATTACGTGGGTAATTGGTTACTGCACATTGTAAATTCACGGGATAGTTCTTGATGTGAAATCTGGTGCATTGATTTTCAGGTATGGTTGCCTCTCTTACTCCTTTGCCTGTTATTGGTGTACCTGTGCGTGCTTCGACATTGGATGGGATTGATTCACTTCTGTCTATTGTGCAGGTACTTTGTATTGGTTTTGAAATAATTTATGTTGCATTTGTTTGATTACGTATAAACATGCACGTCGGTGATTTGTGATTTGACGCTACTTCGTTTGTCCTGTTCTCTTAAATTGGATCCTAACCTCTTTCTTCAATGAGACCCAAATCTCTTTCTAAAGTTCTAGCTTTTATAGTTTTGTATCGCAGTCTTTAGTTCTGGCAGAAGTTCTTTACAACATTCAGAACAACCATCATTTTATTTTAGAAATTCTTGGTTCACATTTCACAAATGTGTATCCACGCAGCATTTATGATTGTTTTAAGGACTGTTCTTGCAGATGCCGAGGGGAGTTCCAGTTGCTACTGTTGCAATCAATAACGCAACGAATGCTGGTTTGCTCGTGGTAAGGATGCTGGGAGTGGCAGATGTGGATCTACTCTCAAGGTGCTGGCTCTTATTTGCTTACAAATATATAGTGGGAAGAAAAATGAATACCTAATTTTATGACATATGTGCACAATTGGTGACATGGTATCGTGAATGTGTAGGATGAGCCAATTTCAAGAAGACACCAAGAAAAATGTCTTGAGCAAGGCAGAAAAGTTGGAAAAAGATGGTTGGGATCTGCACTGAATCCTTTACCCCAAAATCATTAAGTCAAAAGAGCAGGGAGAATTTAGGTTATCCATCTCTATTGTGGATGTGGAGCTAGTTCTCCAAACTCATGACACAACCATACATTTTCTACAATGGAAGGCCTGTTAAGTGGCAGGAGTGTATTGGGGAAGTGATAAATAAGGAAAATAAATCAGATACCGGAATGATCCGAATGGCCTGTTTCTAATTTGCCCGTTTTGGTTGGTTCAGACAATTATTGAGTGCTGGAGAGCCGTGCTTTCTTAGTCCACAATTTTGCAAATTTTTTATCTTTTGAATAATCATTCTATTGAGTAGGTTCATCGTGGTTTTGTAATGGAAACAGGTCTTCTGGGAGATGAAGCATGCCAACTTTTTTATACAAGGAATAAGAATTGTCACCTCTGATGAACTCAATTCTTCATATTGTTGTGGATTTACCGTCAGCACAGCTTACGACTCAAATATAACGTGCGTTCTTCTACTTTGATGAGGTTTTAAAGAATAATAAATGGTTACATTAGAACTTCGCTACTTTAACCTCTTGGCCTGCTTACTCTCTATTACTGGCAGAGAACAGCAGATTGGCCTCATTTACACGTTTGAATTTACAAGTTACATATTATGATCCCCATTTGGTCTTCCTCTTTATGTACATGGAAAGAAAGGAGAGAATACCGAGTAAAGTGACCCCAAGCCCGCCAACAGCAAACCTCCCCATTTTTAAGGTGGAAATTTGCATATTCATTATCATGCCAATCCCGGTCGTTCAGCCTTCACTAACCTTGGAAGTTGTAGCTGTTCCTATTGCCTATTGCCTTTCGATGCTAGTTGTCTATCTATGATTTTTGATCATTTTCTTTGCTTTTCTAGAGAAGTTTCGTACCACATTTTCATTGGAAAATGTCAAAGAAAGCTCTTCTTCAATAGTTTCTCTGCGGTTGTACCAGCAATCATTTGAATCGGGTTCAGTATATTCTGGAGGTGTATCGGGATCTTCAAGTATATCTCGATATAAGTGTTTCAATATGAAAATAGCAGTGTCATGATCTCTCCAGTAGTTTCTGCATGCCAGAAACAAAACAATCAGAAGGTGGAACACAGCCAATTTACCAATGCACCTTCCTCCCTCCACTCAAAACTATTGCAGACAGAAAAAATGCCCTACAGAAACTGGATAAGTTGATTTTATGGTTGGTAATATCCACAACTGCTGAATTCGTTAGACATGTAATAAAAACTACCGACAGCAGTTAATATGTAGAGATCGAAAGCTTCAGGTCTAAAAGCTATGAACAGAAATTAATGTCCAAAAAGTAACTGATTCATTAGCGATTATGCATGAATTCCAAGATTTTTTTAGGGTCTTAGTACACCCCATTTGACATCATATATAAGAAGACCCCACTTATTCGATATTTATATGAACTAGAAGTTTAGAAGTTTAGAAGTTTATAATCTAGAAGCTAAGGGCTATTGACCATCTGATTTTTAGTTTTTAAAAATTAAGCTTATAAATACTCATTTCTAGCGATAAGCTCTTTTACAAAATCAAGCCAAGTTTTAAAAACTTAAAAAAGTAAAATTTAAAACTTGTTTTCGATTTTGTAATATGCTAAGAATTAAAATGTTTACTTAGAAAGATGAAGTTGAGAAATCATGAGAAACAAGCTTAATTTTTTAAAACAAAAAATGAAATGGTTATCAAATAGAATCCAAATTTCTTGGCAAGATAGGAAGAAAACAATAGTGTTTTAAATTTTTTTTTTTTTTTTCTTGATATATGTTATAGATTAGAGGAATTGGAACGTTATTTTGATTAAATTAGAGAGATGAAACTCACGTATGGGACTTAATGGCTTGCATATATGGATGCTCACATGTTTTATCCTGCAAGTGAACGAGATTTAATTAAAGATAGATCAGCAGAATGTCAGGCAAACAATTCAAGCTGGGTATAATTCACATAGAGCAAATGAAAGGATAACAACCGGATAATAGAGAAAAGAATAGCCCAAACCAATAGGAGTCAAGAAGAAACCATAGGAGGCCATATCGCAAGTTTAAAATGTGATCTAGCCACCATATTTTGCTTCTTATGCCTCCATGTTACACCATTACCTCCAAAAAAAGGTACATTAGCCCGTCATAGATCTTCTGTCTACTACAGATCCAGCATAGTTAGCATCCGTGTAAGCTTCCAATGCAAGGAAATTGTTTTGTTTAAACAAAATTCCTTTTCTTGAAGTTCCTTTCAAATAATGTAGCACTTTGTATGCTGCATGAAGGTGAGGCTCCACGGATCATGCATGAAATACTTACCGAGTATGCTATGTTTGGTCGAGTGTGAGCTAGATATATTAGCTTTCACTCTACCTTCTAGTACATTTCTCTGTCCACTACAGGTTCTTTTGACTCACCCAATTTCTGATGGGAATTCATTGGTGATGGTGTAGGTTTACATTCGCTTTTCGGTGTTTCCATTAATAAATCCCAAGTATTTTTGTTGGGATCTGAAAATTCCCTAGGATGAATATGCTACCTTCAATATCTAGAAAGTACTTTAGCCTTCCAAGTTCCTTGATCTCAAATTCTTACATCAATCTTCTTCTGAGTTCAATCTTTTCTTCTTTATTATCTCCAGTGACTATGATGTCATCTACATACACTAGAAGCACTGTAACTCCCTTTGTTTCTGAATGAGTTACAGTGCTTGATAAAGAGAGTGTGATCTCCTTCACTTTGCTTATATCCAAAGTCTTTCATTACCTTTGTAAATCTTCCAATCACGCCCTTGGAGATTGAGATTGTTTTAGTCCAGACAAGGCCTTTCACAATTTGTATACTTTACCTTTTGTGTTTTCAAAACCTGGAGGAATGTCCATGCACATTTCCTAATCTAGATCGCTATGAAGAAGAGTATTCTTCACATCTTAACATCATACTGTGTGAACTGCCCATTTAAATTGATAGCTAAAGATAACAATATTCTTACCGGGTTCATCTTTACAACTGGGGCAAATGTTTCTTAGTAATCTTTCCCACAAGTTTGAGTATATCCCTTAGCTACCAACCTTGCCTTATACCTTTTCAATATTCAATCAGCCTTGTACTTTACTGTGAAAAACCAATATCCAACTATATATTTTTTTCAATATCCAACTATATATTTTTTTCTTTTAGCCTATCCACAATTTCCCGTGTGTTATTCTTTTCTAGAGCATAAATTTCTTTTTTCATAGCATCTTGTCATTCCCTTTTGGATAAAGCTTCAGAAACTGTTTTAGGTATAACAATTGAACTATCGTGTAACGGGGATAGCCTTTCAAAAGAGATATAGTTTGATAGGGGTATAAGGGTTGTTTTGTGCATTCTTTAGTGGGTTTTCGGAGAGTTATGAGTGTGTCATTTATCGGTACATGCGTTGCATCTTCATTGTGAGTAGAGTTGGATGTTGGTTTATCATCTATTGGTACCTGAGCTGCATCTTTATTGTGAGTAGAGTCAAATGTTTGACTTGTAATCTGGTAAATGGAGGTAGATGTGAGAGGGTAAAGCGGCGCATAAAAAAGGGCTGGCCCGGAGAATGAAATCATTGCTTATAAGGGTGTGGAAACTTCTCTCTAATTACTAGGTAATAATATAGATAAATAAAGGAGCTCTTACTATTCAGAATAAGAAACAGATGACAAAAACATAACTCTTCGACAACGGATCCAAAAAAGAAGTGTCTAGAAGATCAAACCTCCCCATAAATCCTCCCGTTTCTCTCAAGCCACAAAAACAACGAGAAAGGCAGTCTCCATAATATGATATCCTCCTTGCCTTTGGTTTCTCATCTGAAGACTAACAAACATTTAAACTTCCAAATTTTGAATCATGTGTTGATGAGAACACACAGTGGATTTCAGGCAGAAGGAAAATACAGCATCTAAGTATCATACAGTAAAAGGAAATGCATACTTGAAGCATGTGATCAATCCGTCCTCCTTCACTTCCTGTCAATCTCTCCATCATTGCAACACCATAACACTTCAGTTCTCCTTGAAAATTCTCATCTCCTTCTACATTAGGTGCACAAAATATGAGAGAGAGTGAAATTTCACTTCATTTATTTACAAACATACAAAAAGAGAGGGAGGATACTCTAAAGACAGCTCATCTTTTTTCAAGAAAAGACAATGAAATTGAAAAATATAGCTCATAGCTATCATAAAGATCCTGCTTGGCACTAATTTCAAACAATAAGAGGGGCTCCACTCATGTATGAAGGAAAGCCGTGAACGGCAGTTCATGAAGGAACTTAACCTGATAATCTCAAATGAAGCTACTGGTAGCCGCAAGAAAGAACTGGCTCTCAGTTTAGAGCTCAATTAGTGAATAAGAAATACTGGTTCTCTTGACAACATGGTTACGTGCACTCAGATTTGATCAGTAATTGTTCATCCATATAGATTATGCACGTTATGTAACAATTTACAAAATCAGGCAGCCACCGCTTAGAAACTGATATATTACCTTCTAGACCATCTGCTTGTTTTGATTGGCAAACTGTGAGTACTTTCACCTGTCAAATAACGTAACTCAGAACCTTCAGCAATTTCTGGCATTAACCCAATACAAACTATTTATCTTTTGGAGTGTACTTATTTTTGTTTCAACAAAGCTCTAGAAAGATCCAAAGCCAAGCCCAAGTTAAGGCCAACTTGTATAATAACCACATATGTAAATACTAGCACGCAGAAATTGGCACCCTGAACTTGCTAACCAAAAATCAAGAAGTTTATTGACAATCAAAAAATAGAAAACCTTAAAAAATCTAGGGGAAACCACATTTAACCAAAACCATTTAGAAAAAAAATAATAATAAAAAATAAATAAATACAAATAGAAAGGAACTGTGCACATACGTGCATGCCTTTGAAGCAGTGAGAAACAAAATATTTGTTCCCTTATGAACACTTTGTTTCGTAAGTTACTCCACAAGAAATTTAAAATTAACCATTTTAAATTAATATAGTTAAAAGAACAAAGCATTTCAGTAACTATTTTATATCCATTATTCTTTGTGGATTGGGATGGCAATAACCAATGGTAACATGAGTTAGTGACTATATTCCACTACTTTCATTCCTGCATATAAACACCCCTTGAGATTCCACCCAAGAGAGTCTTCTTAGAATGAATTTTAACAAACAAAGCACTTCTTATCCAAATAAAAAAAAAAAAAAACTTGGGAGGTCAAAGTAATTACAATAATTCACGGTGTTTCTTTACATGATGTTGTGAAATCAAATGATGTACTACTCTTTTATAGTATGACGAAAAGATTTAAGAAAATTGATTTGAAAGGTTTATAAGAAAAATAAAAAACCAAAGGCAAGCATGAGAAGAAGACACAATCTTAGAAAGTCTAGTACAACCCACCCCCAGAGTGTGTAGATCGTCCTTTTTTGCCTGAGAACGAAGAGCCAGGTTATCAGTAAATTCCTGCATTACATGCAGGAAAATCTATCAGAATACCGAAAGGAAATTAAAGAATGACTGGAATTCACCATATCAATGTGATGAAGATATTTACACGAAATCCAATATGCAACCTCCTTCCACCTCTATGGAATGGTATAATAACAGGTCGTTTGAGCATGTACTCTTTGCATACAAGTGGCTCTATTCTGTATAAATCCAATAAAGCTTCCATTATACGTTCTCCATAAGGTATACTACCATAGTCAGAAACAAACAAAAAAATTCACCAATTTGAGACAAAAGAAAATCACAATCTTTTATTCTGTCATTTATTTTAATAGACACACATAACTTTGATTAAAAAAAAATAATGAGTAAGCTCAGAGTCTCAAACACATAGCAAATAAATGCTCTAGGATGCATTAACAGAGCCCAACGCCCGTGCAATGTGGTTGTGCTCATTGAACAAGTGGTTAGCATATAACAAATGGCTCCAAAAATGCCTGGTCGAAAAGAAAAAAGGTAACGTTTTCAAGTCAAATAAAAAATTGTGTAAACAAAAAGGAAGGGTTAATGAAAAGAAAGATGTCAATCAAATAACAGACAATGAATCACAAGGTAGCTGGTTATGAAAACATTCTAGCACTTAGAATGGTCAAATATACATTCTCTACTTGCTCATTACAAGGGTTGCTTTCACAGACCTGTATGCTACAGGATCAAATGGATGAAAAATGTTTAACATTTGTCGACAAGCTGGCATTTCTTCACTTATATTTTCTTCATCCCAATATTCTTTCCTTTTTCCTGAGGACCAAACAAACAAGCTTTTAGGATCGTAAAAATCATGGGGCTTACTTTAACAAACAATAAACTTTTAACAGCATACAAACCATATCTAGGAGCGCAAGTTGGAAATTACTAAATCAAAAGCTTTTCTGAATTAACTCCGGAATCAGGAAGATCATATTGAATATCAATAACAAAATGAATAGAGACTTGATGGTTAAATACCAAAAAGAAAGGTCTCCAAGATCAATTTTCATGTATAGCAAGTCAATCAATTAAAAACAAATCTCGCTAGCGTGAGAATTTCTTATATGTTCTGAATGGGTCAAGCAGCAAAATGGAGCAGATAGCTCTAACCAATTTAAAAGAAAAAACAAGAAACGAACTTTATCATTGATGGATGAAAAAGAATCAATGTTCAAGGATACAACCAAACGGGTTTAGAATATTAAAGCAAACAAAACAAGGGACATAAAACATCCCTAATAAATCCAGATGACAACCCAATACAATGTTGGAGCAACGTAACATTTTTATGGAAAGAAAGCAGATTTCTCTCAATAATCCTCAATAATCACATATCCAAGTAAAGAAAGGGGTTCCATTCAAGTAAAATAAAACCAAGCGGAAAATTACAAAAGAGCTCAATGATGAAATGAAAACAATGTCAAGAAGCTCAATGATAGCAGACATACCTGTGAACAGTAATCGTCCATTTCTTCTTCCCTCTGCTGGCGCAAATCATCCTTGAAAATTAGAAGAAACAAAAATGTGAGGGAGAGAACATTAATAAAAAAGAACAGAATACTTTTCCTTTTCCTCCAATTTGGAGCAAACCTAGCTTTTCATTCTATGGAAGGAACAACAATTTCATTTCCGTGTTCAACCCAACTTTTAATCGTTCAACAGTGGCTCTTGCATCACAGCAAGTATTTTCATGTTTACGGTTGAACAAAGGCACACAATTTCCCAGAGGAAATTGATAAAGAAAATATGGATACAGGTTAGAGTACATTTTAGTGAGCTTCAGCACCCCCCCCCCCCCCCCCCCCCCC